CCCTATCTGGCACAGCTGTTATGTGATGAGAAAACTGTTAGGCATGACACGATCACCTTACTGCGGCACTCTAACAAATAGTTCCCATTAGCTTTTGTTCTCCTTTCTTTGTTACTATTATATTGTTGCTCATATATTCTATTACAGACTAATTTTATATATCATATCCTGTGCTGTATTGTTTAAATATGTGAACGCAATACTGTTCTTTTTTATTTCTTCTATTTCTCTTCTTTTTTTCTTTTGTTGTTGTTGCTTTTTATTTTTAAATTCTTATAAAATTTATGAGGTAATTAGATGCAATATTGTAATGAACGCTGAAAATTCCATACCTGTACCACAAATACTGTTTGGAATAAAGCCATTATTATTATTATTATTATTATTATTATTATTGTAACCTGAGGTTCCCGGGTTTGATCCCTGATAGGTGGGGTTATAAGTGCACACAACTGAAGGATCCTAAAATAGGATGAAACAGCCATTTGGCGCCTCCTTGTTCCCGATGATCTCTCCAACTGATAACAATAATGGGTTTACTTCCAACAGTACTATTGATATAAGGATAAAACTTGGGCACTACTGTGGTGGTAGAGTATAATTCCATTATGGATCCAATTTGTATTTTGATAAATTTCCACACAATGTTATACTGTAACATTTACTAATGATCACGTTTCGAGCACAATTTATTGCTACTGCTCATAATCATATCAAGGCATTTCTCACACAACTTTCTTGCTTCGTTTATATACATGAGTTTACTTCCCATCCTATTATGTTTTATTGGTAACACTAGTATTGTTTTCGAATGTACTTTATCTTCCTTTCAGTTTCATGCATGTCTTTTGCTTCGGTGGTTCAGCGGTAGAATGCTAGCCGATCATGCATGTGGTCCCGGGTTCGACTCCCGGCCAGCTCACTTTCTTACTTTCCTTAGCCGGTGATAATCCGGAGAAAGAGGGGAGGATGGGCGTGAGGCTAGCCAACGCACCCTGTGAAAAGCATCGCTGCTACAGAAACTTAAAAGTGAAAGCTTAAAGCCCTATGTCTCACTTGGAAAGCAAAGGAAAAAAACCAGCATTACCTTTGATACAATGTGGAATTTTTAGCATGTATTATATTATTTGCCTTCCCAGTCCCGTACATTGTACGAACATTCCATTCATCAACCTGAAACCAATTTGGAAATCTTCTGCTTTTGACATAAGGAGCAAGATTCGAATTCTGTTCAACACCAATGTCAAGTCGGTCAGTCAGTTCTTCTTTCATACGGGTCAGAAACTTGCACTTCACGTGCTTCACGAAAAGCATTTCCAACAGCCTGTTGCAGACTTTTGTCAACAGTTGCCTTCAGAAACTTGGCGGGTCACAAAGAATATTTCCAACAGGTTGCAGACCTTTACAAACAACTGTCTTCGTTCTATACTGAAGATCAGATGGCCGGAAAGTATCACCAACAAGAAACTATGGGAACAAACAAAACAAAAATCAATCGCTCAACAAAAATGTAGGAGAAAGTGGAGATGGATTGGACACTCGCTGAGGAGGCCGCTGGGTGACATCGCGCGTCAGGCCATAGCTCGAGTGGAACCCGAAAAGGAAGCGGTGAGTGGGACGTTCAAGGGTGACATGGAGGAGATCGTGTGAAGAAGAGGTGAAACAGTATGGACTGACATAGATGCAGGTGAAAAGTACAGCAGAATACAGAAACAAGTGGAGACGTGCAGTTGAAGCCCTATGTTCCACTAGGAACCCAAGGGAACAATAATATAATAATTATTATATACTCAAAATCAAATGGTCAGTAAGACTAAGTAACAAGAAACTGAGGGGAACAAGCCAACAGATGAGAACCGATTGCTCAACATATATGTAGGAGAACATGGAGATGGATTGGGCGTACGTTGAGGAGACCGTTGAATGACACAACGCTCAATGCAGGTCATTTCTCTAGTGGAATCCAAATGGGAAGTGACGAGTGAGTGGGTCGTCAGTGCGAGGGTGACATGAAGGAGATCGTGTTGTGGGGAGGAGATGAGAGATTATGGGCAGCTGTGTGCTCAGTTGAAGAGGACGGCAGAAAACAGAAAAAAGTGGAGATGTGTTGTTGAAGCCGTATGTTCCATTGAGAACCCAAGGGAATAATAATCATATATTATGTGCATCTAATATTCTCTTTACATCATATAGTAAGAGGGGAAATTATTACTAGGGTACTTACATTAATAATGTTAATCAGTACGAATATGAATGTTAAATTAAAATTAAAGTGGAAATAGTGACAGTTGTAAATTAATGATATAAAGAATAAAGAAGGCAGTTCACTTACTATCTCATAGTAAATTAGTAGTTTTATACCTAACACGTTTCTCATCACATAAACTGCATGCCAAAAAGGTATTCTAGAGTTTTTATACTTAGTTGTCCGACTATAAAGCCTTTTATATAAGCAAAACAGAAGACGTTCAGCGAAGAGTCTTTCTCTTCTGCGAATTCATTCACACAGCTGTACAATCACAGAGGCAATGGCAATTCACTTGATAAGTCCTGAACTCTGAATACAGAAGAAGTTTGTTCAATCACTACACTTGCAATGGACGTAATCTATCCTAATACCCGACAGGTAAATTCTATTTCTTTCTTTCTGTCTCTTCATTAGTATTATTTTGTCTTTACAATTGTAATATTTTACATTTTCAACTTTCCTGTTCTCTACCCCCACCCGATTTAATTTCTACACCTGATTACCACTGTTACCGACTTGACCAACGCTCAATATCTAGTCATTTATGTTACGTCATCCAATTTATTTGCTCAGTTCTAGTCCTAATTTAAGTGGCATTATTCTCCACTCACCTCTACTTAGTCTCTACCTGTAATTACCTCTGTTGCTATCCTGACCTAAGTTGAAATATTTGAGTCAATTATATTAAGTCATCTAACTTAATGACTCAATCTTACTTTAGTTGCTGTATAACTAACCTTGCTTCTATATTAGATAATTCTTGTATTACCTGATTAATTATCTAAACTTGACAAACCTCATGTACACACACTTACGAAAATAATTATATATAAATGTGATTGTACAGCTATGTGAATGAATTCGCCGTCGAAAAGAGTCTCTTCGCTGAACGTCTTCTCTTTTTCATATAACTCAATGGGGATTTTATATATGCTTCTACTCCTACGATATGAGGTGCAAGGGGGGTAGAGTTTTGTATCAAGAGGATACTTGGAGTCTGATGAGAGGATATTCATCAACGTCTTGCATGAGTTTAAGTGTCTGTCGACAACGAATTGGTTCAGCTGTGTCCCACGTGCCCTACTGACAGCTTCTAGTGTTTTTCTCAACATATAAAGTTTTTCTTAAGTTGTCTCGGGACGATTAACATGGTAAACAATAAACAAGAGTAGCTGGAAGTCGAGAATAAACAAACTGTCAAAGTAGAGACTGAGTGTTGATACCAGATTGTCCTAACTTCATTCTGACATTGGTTTCTGACAAAATCTAACAATGAAAATTAGCTTTCAGGTGTTTATTTGTAGAGATTTGATCGGTTGGAGGATTTCATCATGAGCTGACGTCAGTTAAAGAACCATTGGAAAACCACCTGAGAGTACTAAACAGCCAACTGTTTCGTCAACGTAGTTTGGAACTCCTCAGCAGTACGAACCAACCGCCAGAGTTCGAACCCAGGACCTTGTGGTTACAAGGCGAGCTAGCTCGTAGGCCGTCAAGCCATTGGGACCCGATCCAGTCTTCTTCGATGTGTTACTGCCTCACCTGTGAAGTGGTTGCGCTAGGTCATGAACTGGCAGAAGTTAGAATTCATGCCCTAATCAATGGATTGGGTCCCAGTGGCTGATGAATGGTCGACGAGCTCGCCAGCCTTGTAATCAGAAGGTCCTGCTTTCAAATCCCGGCTGTAACTGCCTTCTACTGAGCAGTGATAAACTAGAATAAAACAGCTAGCTGTCCAGTAAGTACTTTCTACTTTTACCAATAATTCTCACAATCGAACATGTTATTAAATTTATCCTTTTTATCTCCATTCTCAAACTATGCCATTTAATTTATGCAAAAATAAAGAGAAAAAACATGTTAAAAATAAAATTATTCTTTTACAAATATCTCACTTATCTTGATATTTCACACACACACACACAAACACACGCATATAGTTAAGCAATCCATGCACTCAATCTTATTTGCCATGCTTTACTGATTAGAATACAAAAAAAAAATTCAAGCTCTGATTGGTTATCACTGGATATACAAATGACCTAGTACACACAGAGGCTGCTGCTGTCTCAAGGTCAACCGATTCGAAACACAGCTAACCAATCGTGTTCAAGTTTCAATACAAAAAATATGACCAATAAAGCTACATTGAACATTGAATTATATACGCAAATAATAAACATGCGTGTTGTACAACAACTAACTCATTTACACATTATAATAAAAATAATAATGAAAATAAAAATAAAAAATCTTATTCAATTGTTTGTTTAAATGCTAAATTCTCTGGAAAGATATAATTCATTGTCATTATCATTATCGTCAGGAAAATAATAAATAATATGCCTTCTGCATTGGTGGAAATTTTGCATTTCCCTCTCTTCTTATCCCTATCATCACTGTGTACCCCCGGCGGAATTTCATGCATCAGTTAGAAGTTACCAACATCAATTCGACAAATCGAATGCAATAGCCAATAATTATTTATATATATTATTGTTTTGTTTTATATTTTTGGAATATGTGATCAGGAATAATTATAACAATAATACCAATAATCCTATTTAACCCTATTTAATTACACTTTCTTGTGAAATAGTCATTTTCAAATTAATTTATGTATTAGGAGGCTGGAGAAATATACCTCCACCAGTGTGCCTTAATTGAATATGAAGTCGTAATGATGATTAAAGCCTTGTAATTACACCAGTTGTTATCAAAAATCGATATACTATTGTTGTCTGTGTAACACATGCCTACTACACGTCATAAACAAGGTGGAAATGATACAGAATGTCGTAAAACCGGTTGTTGTGGATCTTGTTGTGGTGGCGGTGGTGGTGGTGGTGGTGGTTGTACAGCAAAATCATCGCATACAAAGGCCAACGGAAGAAGACAAATTCGTGAAGTAAGTCTCTGAAAGTTTGTTTGTTTTGCTTACTAATCATATTTGGTTTATTTGTATGCAGATAGAGAGAGAAAGAGACTGAAAATTATAATTTTTTGAGGTTTTAAAATCATTGGTAATCTGTTTTACGATGTTTAAGGGATCTTATAAGCGGCTGGGTGAAATTTTTAGTCTTCGCGTAGTTTAGGACAGGACTTCTAGATAATATCCCTTTGTTGTAGGCTTGCAGTGGAATCCACAACATGTTTCGTCCAGTCTGAGATTCGTCAGACGGGTTATTGAATCTCACTGTAGAATAAATTAAGACAGCCTGCTTGAATCACTGAACTACCTCAATTTCTCTAATTCTTACTGCTTTTTAGCCATCCAGTTATCACCTTGGGCGGCAAAATATACTCGCGCACATTTTTAATTGTTTTTCAAGTTATAATTATTGTTCTTTTGTTTTCCAATTAGAATTAAGTGGTCCAACAGCACGTCTTGATATTGTTTTTTTTTAAATTTTCAGTGGTCCTCTTTAGCAGGCTACACGATTGACTTTACTTTCTCACCCTCTGCCCTGTTCACACTATCTCCACCATATCACCATCGAGGCGATGACTCGTTTCCCATTCTGGGAGCTCGACTTGAGCGATGGCCTGTGGTTTCTCCTACATATTTGTTAAACGATAGATTCTTGTTTAATTTTGTTCCCATAGTTTCTTGGTGCTACTCAACTCTGGCTGACCATGTGATCTTTTTAGTATGGAGCCACGGAAGACAGCTGTTGATAAAAGTCCACAGTAGCCTGTTTGAAATGGTTTCCGTGAGGCGTGCGACATGAGTTTTTGACCTATAGAGAAGAAGAACTGGCTGACTTAACATTGGTGTTAAAAACCCAATCCAATCTTGTTCTGTATGCTGCTGAGTGCGGAAGATTTCCAAACTGATTTCACAGTGATGAAGGTCTATCTTGACCTTGCAATTCCACCTCTGACATCCTCATCTGTTCCGCCTGTACTTTAAAACGATGCTTCCTAGTCAGATTAGTGAAGAAAGTGACCTTTTTCAAATTTCTGTCGTTGATGGTGATCGATGCCGGTTGTAATAATAATAATAATAATTTACTTTATTCCAAAACAGTACTTGTGATACAGAATGGAATTCTCAGCATTTTTACTACAGTATTGCATCCAGTTAGTACATTATCAATAAGTAGAATTCTACATAGATTAAGCAAATCTCAGTTCATTATGACAACAACATATTGGCATGTCGAATGCAAAGCCAAAGTTGAACAGTGTTTGACGTTGTTAGAAAAGTAGATACTAGCATATTTACTGGCGTAAGCGGTAACAAAAGGTTGAGATATACAGAGTGTTAAAGAACGAAGAAGAATGTTTCAATAGAGTTTGTAAAGAAGAGAGAAACAAAGCAGCGCATAACAGAAAAAAAGGGAAAAGGAAAAGAAAGAAAACGTTGTACCTATAAATGATATGAGTTGTAAAGACGAGATCCAGTTGTTCTACTGACTATTTAATAAGCTATAGGTATCTCGCCTAATGCTTTCTTTATCGCACAGAACACGAGCTAAGTAGGGTATGGTTGAGTTTTTTTGTAATTGCTAGTACGAGCATATAGTTTTCTATATAGGCTTCTGGTTCTGCCTGATGAGTGCGTTGGTTAGTTGGTTGGTTATCTTCATCACCTCCGTCTTCTCTGGGTTCAACTGGAGTCTTGTCTTCACAGCCTACTTCTGCAACCACATTGTTAGATTTCGCCTACAAATCTTCAAGGTTGTTTGGGTGACATTAGACATAAATCATCCACACGCGAAATCCAGATCTTTTATAGTCTTCTCTCTACCCATGCATGGTGTGCCCCATAATCCAGTCCATCTATGTATATTTCTCGGAAAAGAAGGCAAAATATTACCAGAGGTTATTCTATACTTTCCGTCAAATAGCACCGCATCACACGATATAGTAAGGATTACTATTTTTTATTAAAAATCCTGAATGGAGTGAAAATATTATTCAATGAATTATTAGAACTTTGTACAAAAATGCAGCATTTCAAGTAGGTGCTCTTAACACAGTAAACAGAGGTAAGGAAAAAGAAAATATTGAGGCGAAATGTACAGCAAGAAAGATAAGAAAAATAGAAAAAAACATGACAATATAATGAATTTTGCAGATCACAAGCAGTCAATGCGTCTGTGACCCTGATGACAGAAATTTGAGCCACTTAAGCAAACAGTCTCAATCCATTTGTTCTTAAAGTCACGATAACTCTAACTGAGTGGTCTACCACTCTCTATGTGACTAAAACCAAGATTTCATAGAATGAGGATAGGTTTTAACCTGCCCACCTCCCCTTAACACTTCTTCAACCTAATCTTATATCAGGTAATATAGCATGTGTTGAGGAAGACGATGTCTTGGCATGCAAAACACGTGACTGATAGTACTCCCAGTGAGACCCTAATCCAGTACTGATTCTGTCAAAACATCAAGCTACTGACTGATAACATTCCCAATTGCTCATATACAGGAATTTGAAATACAAGATAGCTGAACTGGAAAGCAAGACTCGGCCAAGTTAAGCTTTAAGCACCACTAACTACCAATCGAGGAGTGCTACCGCACCATTGACCATGAAACGCTGACTGAGCAAGTTAGTGAAACCTGGTAGATAATGTTGTCGTCATCAATGAAAATATGCTCATCGAAGTGTTATGCTATTGAATGAGATATCTGGGAAGTTTCAGCTTAGGTTTGGGAAAGATTAAGTTGAGGTTTAGGCCAATGACAATTTAGGGTTAGGTTAACCTATTAAAGGCGACATTACGGTTGGCTCGAGTTAGACTACAGTTAGTTTATGGATATTTTCACGTTAGGGTTGGGTTCAGGCAAGATTAGGTTTAGAAGACCTAAATAATTACATGCGTAGAACTTGGTTAAATTACTCTGTTGATATAAGAAAAGAACCTGTACACTGTGGTAGAGTATAATTGCATTGTACGTAAAATTTATTCTGATAAAGTCTCATGGTGTAATACAGTAATATTTACTGATGACCACGTTTTCAGCACAGTTTATCGCCCAGTAAATGTTACTGCATAACACTGTGAGACTTTATCAAAATAAATTTTACTCACACTGAAATTATACTCACTCTGTTGATACTACAACTTAAAACTGAGAGCTATTTTTGTCAAATGCGTGAGAAAGGTATCCTCTGTTACACTTTTCTACAGTTTTTATGCATGTTTTTTTATAAATATATGTATTCCATATAAAAAATGCCTCCTTCAAGTGATTACTGCGTTCGAGGTCATTCCCTGATTGGTAGTTACGGGTGTCTAAAGTTTAAGTCTGCCCAAGACTTGACACACTGTTTGTTCCTGACTGTCTATGTTTCTTTACACCATGGTTTCATCGCACCAAACTTAAACTCATCAGGTGTAATAAAATAGAAGTCCATCTTTCACACACACAGATACACGAGTACACATATTTGACAGCTCTTTTCACGAGCTTGACAGACAAGAGATTTAGGTGTTTCTTTAAATAATAAGCTTGTAAAATTCCGTTGGCTGTGTAATTATTATTTTCTGTGTGTTGAAATTCCTCTAGCGGTTTGATAGGTTTAGTGGTGTGTGGTTGCTAGACCTACACCCAATCCTCTCTCTTCACCCAGCCTTGGGACCGGCTAGAAAACTAGAAAAGTAGTTAACAAGGCAAGGTGTGTAATTAAGTGTCAGAAAATAAATGGAAAAAACACTAGTGTTTCTTCTCGTGAACTTTTACTTAATTAGTTTTTGTTAACATCGTATTGTTTTGCTGGTTCATTTATGGAATAGTTGTCCGACAAGCAGGATGTAGAGGTTCGATTCTTGTTTGAGCAGTCCTGAACCTTGCCTAGTGTAAGGGACTTAATAGCGAGCTCGGTAACGGAAAAGATTTAGAATAAAAACCCCAGTTAATGAAATAATGTTGTAACAATATATCATAAAAAATGCTGTTAACGAGTTTTAGAAATTAATGGTTACTTGTTGATACAGTTAAAGTTCACTGCTACACATTATTTTATATAGTCCACAGAAGCGTTCACTTCTGGGATTGTGTCTACCAGTAGGAGGTGTGCACCGGTTTTAGAATAGTCTTCGGATAAGGATCAGTTGTTCCTGCGAAATTCAAAGAATACAACATGGTTAGTAGTGAAACAAGTAGACAGTAAAGACCAGTGAGAAGAAGCAGCGTTGAGTAGCAAACTGCACTTTGTTTTGTACTCCGAAGTAATGTTGTTTTTTACAATGGATCGTTTTAAACAAAAGTTATGTAAACAGTGTTTCCATATTTAACATCTAACTAAAAACTGTACAGTCATATTGTTCCAGACCCCACGCTGTGTTAATTACGCTAACATTTCCACGGTGTCAAAAATCAACACCACAGCTTCTGAGACTTCATAGACCGGAACCATATATTCCCCTGGGGATGGAAGGAGTGTTGAAGAAGTATCATTTAACGCAATGTTATTCTATCTGATTCATACCTGCAGGCCAGTAAGATATTATTACTTCAGAAACAGTCCATAGCAGTATGCTGAAAACTACTGAGAAAAGTGTGGTTAAAGCATAATATGAAACGGCGGATTATGGAAGATGGAAAATTAGAAAATCTATAGCTTTAAACAGACTGCCGTACTATTAAAGATAGAGAAATCAGCGTCAGGCAGTGAAATAGAATACTGATTTGTATCAGTTCTGACCAGGGATTGATAGAGGTTAGAGAACTAATTGACTGGATTATGCAGGAGACTATAAGGAGCAAGACGACAGGAATAGGCTTGACCGATAAGAAGATTCTAGAGGATCCTAACCTTGAGGACGATGTATGTCTAATATCCCACAAACTTGAAGACTTTCAGGAAAGAACCAAAAAAGCGAAGATAGCACTTCAGATGAATGTAGAGAAGATAGGAATAATGAAGACAACCAACCAACAACATCGACA